CCATAAAACTAACTATTAGTGAAACGTAAATGTCACTTAGCTTCTTTTAAATATGTCCAACTATTATAAGTGTAAAATATTTAATTCTACTTGATAAACTGCATGAAGCTTATTTTATTCTCAAACTTATTAATAATTATGTTAGTTAATTCATGTTTAGTAATAATGCATAGTACTTATGGATCTATTTTATTTTTAGGATGGTATTACAAAACTGAAATTCAGGCATAGAATAATATTTTTAATTGAATTTATTCAGTTCCCATTTGCTCATAGGTCCTTAATTTTTTTTCATTAATGGTCCTTAAAAGTCCTTAATTTCCGCGTGCAGAAATGTGTACGAACCCTGTTACAGGATTTCTTGTAATTCCTAAAAATGGATTAAGAATTTTGTGTTACAACCATCCTAGCTGAATCAAAGAGTTCGTTTAATAGTACAGTACGTCCGAGATCCAGACTCATTAGGATTTCGCGATTCCAGATTTGGCATTTTTCCGGATAATTAGATCATCAGTTTAAAACTTGTAAGATGGCATGCACAAATTATAAAACAAAAAATTTTAAATCATGATTTAAGAAATAGTGAAACATTTATTATCTAAAGGGTAACAAAATTTACAAAAGCTTAATATTTATTTGGGTACTATTCTGTTTTGAGGATCGTAAAAAAATTGCAGCAAAAATGTATGTGCAAAAGCGCCAAATCTAGCAAACGCACCCATTTAACAGCACGCCAAATCTAGCGTACGTGCTGATTTCAGATTGCCTAAGTTAATATAGTTCTATATTTCGTAAGACGCCATTGAAATACTAGATTAATTTTTAAATTCTTTTTTGATATCCTATGGATTTAACAATTTGGAAATTGCCCATGAATAAAAGTCTGCAATAGAATTTTGGGTAAAGTGCAGAATCACTCAATGCTTGTGTTTTTAAGAATTGCACATACTCGGTATCCATGTACACATCGACTATTTTCACTTAAAAAGTAAAAGAAAATTGACAAAAATCCAATTGTTTTTACCCTTGTAAAAAGCAGCAAACAAATAAGTGGGCGGTTTTGCACTTTACCGAGAATTTTTTCATAGAAAAGGCATCATTCATAATAGAATATTATATTTGAACAACCAAAGAGTTGAAATTATGCTTTAGTGATAACTCGGTAGCGAAATAGTGATGCAGGCATCCATTCAGTTATGTTTAGCAATTTTTATGTAAATTATAATAATGATCTGAAATAGTTATTTATTCTTATGCTTCCATTCAGTCATGTTTAGCCTTTTTTATATGAATTATAATAATAAAAATGTATTATATGAAATTAACTTTTCATCTAAATTAAAACATCAATCTTGGATAGTTATTTACTATTATACTTCATTTCTTGCGTTAGGGTTGCCGCAATTATTTTTGGCAACACTGGCATCAACAATGTTTAGCGATTTTTTATGACCCTCAAAATCGAATAGTATACCTTTATTTGTTTACTTTATTAAAATTGTTCTGTTGTAATAATAGTAATTCCATAGTCCTATTGTTAGAGTTACAAAGTCCTGTAATTGCTGTGTTGGGAATTCTGTCCAACTTGTTATTCGAAATTTTTTCGTTTTCAGTAACTTACTTCTCTGTCACTTTCTTCACTTTCGGTAGTGATATTTTCTGCATTTAGAACCATACTAGAGATTTTGCCATCCGTTAATTTACTGACGTCCGTTTATTTATTATTAGACTTACGTCTATTTCTAGCACATGCTTAAGGCGTATCTGAGTGCTGAATAAATAAATTCACATGGTAAAAGTATATTTACAGGAACCCCTTGGCAAAAATTGGCGATTTTTGGCGGTACATGGATATTGAGTTTGTGCAATTCTTTGACTTGTTATTTTGGCTTTGTATACCTAAAATCACTGCTACACAAAGCCAAAATAACAAGTCAAGGAACTGCACAAACTCGGTATCCATGTATACATTGGCCTATTTTCACTTAAAAAAAAATCACAGAATTGCACAAACTAGGCATTGCACACTCCCTTGACTTTATCCATGTATACGTCGACCTATTTTCACTTAAAAAAAATCTGAGAATTGCACAAACTTGGCACAGTGTGCTCCCTTGACTTTATCCATGTGTACACATCAATATATTTCCACTTAAAAAGTCAAAGGAGCTCCCAATTCTAGTTAAAAGTATATTTATGGAACATTTAACTTGTTTCTTCATTTTTCTCTAAATTTTCCAAATCTTGTCTTCCTTAAATTCTGCCACCTGGTGTGGCCATATCAGCTCTGATGCTGGTTCTGGGTTTCTGTGAAAAACAAATCAGTTATTCTTAATTCAGATAGCTCTAAACGTAATCTTATCTTTTGGCCTATGATTATCATTTACAAAATCTGTTTTTAGTATATAGAAAGAAATTTTTGTTTGTTTTAAATCTGTAATTATTGCCAAGCATAATGTCAACATAAAAGGTTACCATACTCTTTGTTTATTAAATTACTAATATAAAAATTTTTTTTTGGCAATCGCTGCATGAGTCATTACTCAAGTTGTCATGTGTTGATAAACAGGCAGTGATGAAAGCAAAATATAATAAATAATGATTCCCCAGGTTAGCATCAAGGAGTAGTATTAGTAGGTATAAAATCAATAATGTGCTTATCTAGAATGTTTTGGTTTGAGATATATATGCCAAGCATATATGCAGCTACAGAGCCAAATCATTGATCACACAAATTTATGCTAAATTATTGTTTCTTCAGTAATGAAGTATTTATTTAGTGCCAAAGAGAAATTAAGAATAGGGACTCTCTACATGTTTTATTTATGGGGGAAAAACCAAATGCGCATACTTATAGCATTAAAAAAATTGTTGGTGGTTTTGAGGTCCGGATTTAAATCATTCCGGATATTGAAAGTCCAGATATTGGACTTGCACTGTATTAATTCTGAAAAGTTCTGCGATTTCACAGTATTATGTACATTTTTTTTCATTAAAATTTATTTTTAGAACCAGTGTATTAAAGTTGGTTTAAGTTTGCAATAATAAGATGTTCATGGATTGAACTTGTCCGAGGAATACCATGTTGTAGACATTCTGTCTCCTTTAATTTGAAGCTTAAAGTCATACTGCTCTTACTTTGCCATAACAAAATTTTCAGAGTATAATAGTTCAATGGGGACAATCCAATGGTTGTTTCTAGTTTGCATTAACAATAAATATAATTTAATCGATTTGAATACTAGTTTTCATATGCAAGGTTATGGGTTAGTGCGAAATGGTGAAATAAATGTGAGCATGCAACTCATCATAGCCAGATTCTTATTTAATTAAATTTAGGTACTTGCAGTTATGACCTAAAACACAAATTTTTTAGACATTTTAAATGATATCCACAGTTTTATGCCTCCATGTAAATATTAATTTGCTGAACAAAATTTGTTTTTCTCATTTTATTGGCAAGTTGTTTATTTTCCAATAAAAATTTCTTAATTTTTCAAATATATGTTATGTTATTTTTCCTTGAAATTTTTTTTTTTTTTTTTTTTTTTTTTTTTTTTTTCAGTTTTAATGTATCATAAATTTTTAGCAATTATTTTTATGCTTTGAATTTTTCTTCAAATCTCTGATGAATTCAGTCAGGATAATGAAAAGTACCAAAAAATATCCTTTAAATATTTTTCTTTTGAAAACCTTAATTTACTTGTTTAATTTTTATGAATGCTTAAAGCTATGATTGCAAAGAATACAAATATGGTTATTTGAAACCATATAGGGGTGCATATTTACTTCTTTGCCTCAGGTGAGAAAATATCTGGGTACAAATATTCATTTTAGTGTAGAATATTTACAATTTTATTACATTAAAGTTTTTAAATATAATTTAAAATAGAGTGAGAAGGAACAGCAACAAGGAAATATTCTTTCACGACAAATCCTCTAAAAACCTACTATGGTAAAACAACACACCCTGCTTTTTTTTCCATTTCATTTTCATAAGCTTGATAATTATTAAACATACTAAAAATTTAAGACTACTGTTTTTTTTTTTTTTTTTTTTTTTTTTTTTTTTTTTTTTTTTAACACTACTATTTAATGGAAGTTTTTCAAATTTAATTTATCATCAGATGCAAGTCATAACACTAGCTTTGTTTATTGTAAAGTGTAGCATCTGCATAATATTCTGGATATTAGCCTTAAAGGTCTTTAGTTTTGGTTTTATTCCATATTTATATATATTTGATTGTAATAACTAAAATTGGTACTTTTTAATTAAAATCATATTCATTGGCCTTTTTTTTCTTTTTTTTTTTCCATTTCATTTGTGGAGATAATTGTCTTCATAACTGTTGCTCGCACTATCATGTTTTCATCAATTCCTTTTTTTTTTTTTTAAATTTTAGTATGTTTAATAATTATCAAGTGAAATAGAAAAAAAAAGCAGGGTGTGTTGTTTTACCATGTTGTTTTTAGAAGATTTGTCGTGAAAGAATATTCGCTTGTTGCTGTTCCTTCTTGCTCTATTTTGAATTATATTGAGTCGAAGACAAAGGGGAGAAATAAACCAAAATGCACCCAAAGAATGTCAGAAATGTATCGTATGGCTTCTTTAACAAGAAGCCTTTATTGTTTCTTTAACAAGAAAGTATACAAAAATTTAAGTGTGTTAATTTTTTTTTTGTTTTTTGTTTTTGTTTTGACTGTATTACAGTAAAGTGAGTAATAATATTTTTTTCAAGTCTAATGAATAGTCACATATGGGTATATTTAAATTAAAAAAAATTTTTTTGGAGCTCTCAGAATTTTGAAATATTTTTGCTACTATAATGAGATTGCAGCAAGATAAAGTTATCAACGGCCTGAGAGTTTGTTACTAAACTAAAAATGTTAACTGTGTTTATAAAGGACTCATTTATTACATTTTTATAAGCCTGTATTTAAAACAAATATTTTTGTTTGTATTACATATTTATGGGATTTACTTTTTATTATTTCTTTAGGTCTTGGTTTTCGACCTTCTCCTCCTGACGAAAATATAGATAGCACCCTCATCTGGTTCAATGCGACCCGTAATGAAACTGTCAAGTATTGGGTTGACAATTTAAATGACTATTTGAGTTGTACGTATAAATTTTGTGCATTTTCTTTTAATTTTTTATTGTATTTATTTTAATAATAGAAGTTAGGGAAAATGTTTTTTTAAATGTTTGTTTTAATTATGTAGTTTTTTTTAATACTTGTGATGAGCTGGTGTATGTAATTAGTACAGTCATGTATGTTTGAATCTTCATATGATATAGTGTGAGGAAATTTTATGAGCTCACATTTCAAGAGATTAATATATTGAATAAAACTTACATTCAGTTTCACTTCCTTACAGAAGAATAGTGATTTGTCAGTTACCACAAATTTTTGTAAACTTTCCCATCATATGCATTCTGTTAAGTGATGTGTACTTATTTTTGCTATGTGAAAATTTGTTTAGTGACATCAAGAGCTATTTTAGTTACCGTTGTGTATATTTTATGAAAAATATCCTGACATGTACTTTAAAAATACTTTTGGCAAAGTATATTGTTGTAATTTAGATTAAATTAACATGCCAGATAATGATTATTGGACACAAGAAATAACCATTATATTTGTAAATTTTGCAGGACTAATTTTGAGGGCTGTAGTTAATGATTCTGTAGGATAATCATCGAAAATAGTCCTGCAAAATTTACGAATACAACACTAATTCTTGTTTGACTTATCCAATAATTTTGTTGTATTATTAATATTTAATGAAGCAGGACCTTAGTTGTTAATGCAATGGCCATGTATTAAAAGTTGCTGATTTTGAAATTGAGACACCATTGAATGAAAAAAATGTTACCTAACATTTTACATAAAGCTGTATTTGACAGAAATTAAAAGTTTTGAAAAGCAAAGTTTAAGGAGAAACGTGGTGATAAGTTCAATAGTTAATAATTATTAAATAGCTCACCTTAAATTTTCATAAACTTGTAATTACCTGGAAACACTTGACTTTTGACAATGATAAATAAGGATGCAAAATTAAATAAGAATTTATGCACTATCAGAATTTTTCAGATATTGAAATTTTCTTGAAACATCAAATTCAAGTCATCATCTTTTCTTTAAATATCTGTTGCCACAAACACAAGATAAAATTGAAAATACATAAGTAGTAAAAATGCAATGACAACACCACCTATAGAGAAGGATAAAATAAGCCGCAAAAATATTTTGAAACTTAACATCTCCTTCCCTGGGCTGAATTCTCAAGTTCAGGATGACTGATTAGGAAGACAACAGCATTTGGAAAATGGACGTTAATAAAGTCTAGTTGATCTTTTTACTTCAACAACTCTGAATAACTCTGTTTTTTCCAGGAAAAACTTTTATGATTCTTCCAAGATTCCATTCTAACGGAGGAAGAGAATCCTCTTTGAGATACACCAAGTCATTCGCTTAGATATTTTTTAGTCCACGTTTCCCGAAGTTGCAGTTGATTGAAATATTTTATTTTATTTTATTTATTTTATTTATTTATTTATTTTTTTTTTTTGCCATCTTAACCAAAACTGATTAGGAAACTGCTGAATCAAATGCTATCTTGACTTAAATCAAAGAGACTTTGTTGGAGCTGTTTCAGGAAAGGACATTATTGGAGCACCTATTAAAAATGTCCTGGAGTTAAGATACACTTCAATCTGTATTACTATAGTGGTAATTTTCTCAAAAGTTAAAATATCTGACTTGCAAACTTTGAATAAATGTTACTTCACAGATTTGATTATAGCCCTCCCACAATCTGTTGTTAAATCTGAAATATTAATTTCCAGGACTCATGGAATAACTCAGAAGAAAAAAAGGTTAAACACATAGCCATTTAATATGATTCAAAGTAATCCCCATCAGACGTAATGCACGTCTGTGCTCGGCTGTAAATTTCGGAAAGAAGTTTTAAAGTCCTCTTTTGGAATCTCTTTAATAGTGACGTTACAGTTTTCTTGATGGCATCCTGAAATCTTGTTCCCTTCAGCGAATTTTTCAGCTTAGGAAACAGGGGAAGGTCTGTGGGTTCTAGGTCTGGAGAGTATGGTAGATGCTGCTTTTCAATGACACCATGCTGGGCTAAAAATCGCCTCACAGGCAATGCAATGTCTGGGTGAACATTGTCATGTAGCAGCAGCCAACTCCCTTTTTGTTCAAAATGAGGCCTCACACTACGAATTCGTTTTCGAAGTTGGTCAAGAACTTCTGTGTAGAACTGTCCGTTGATAGTCATGTTAGGAGGAAGAAATTCATGATGAATGAGTCTATCGCAATCGAAGAAAGCGATTAACATGACCTTGATTTTGGACTTTACAAATCGAAATTTTTTATGCTTTGGTGAACTTGGAGACCACCATTCGGAGCTTTGACGCTTGGTTTCAGGGTCATATTGATAACACCAAGACTCGTCTCCCATGACTATCCTATCCAGGAACGCAGGGTCAGCGTCAGCGGTGTCGATAAGTTCTCCACATGCGTCCAGTCTCAATTGCTTCTGTTCGTCCCTTAAATGGCGAGGAACGAATCTGGAACAAATCTTGCGTTTGCCTAGGTCTTGCTTCAAAATTCGCCGAACCGTCTTTTTGTCCATGTTGAATTCATTGGCGAGTACTCGTATAGTCAATCGACAATCACATTTCACAATATCACGAACTTTTTCAATTGCTTCCGCTGTGCGTACAGACTGCGGCCGACCTGTGTGTGGATCTTCGACGCTTTTGCGCCCGTCTCTAAAGCGTTTAAACCATTCAAAAGTTCTTGAGTGGGATAATGCTTCCTCGCCGTAAACTTGTTTTAACATTTCGTAGGTTTCTGCAGCTGTCTTGCCCAATTTGAAGCAAAATTTACTGTTAATTCTTTGCTCCATTTTCACTTCGACAATAGGAATTTAAGAGCTACGTTTTAATGCGTCTTTATACGAGAACCACTTACTTCAGAATGACGCCGATTGCACTGCACATGTGCAAGAAAACGCTCTTCAATATGCAATCATTAGCGCCATCTTCCGACTTTCGTTCTCCTACAGTTACGTCAGTCCTGGAAATTAATAGCCGGACCTTGTACTTGCCCAAACCTTTGTTCACATATGGTCAGTTATATGTTGCATTAAGTAGAATAAGGAGTAGATATAATCTAAAAATCGTATTGGCTGTGGATTTAAAAGGATATATTACAAAAGTAGTTTATAAGGAGTTATTGTAACCATATTAAAGGAAGCAATATTCTTATTAAATACATATATAGTTAAATAAAGATAGAAAAATATTTTTAAGATGAGTACTATAAAATCCCATTCTCAGGAGGGGTAGCTCCACTGCTACTACTACTAATTATTTACCTTATTCCCTGCTAGCCACTATTCTGCAACCAGTACAATAAATCTCTCGTTTTATTTGTCCGGCAGTCCACACTCCATTAATTATTTATAAAATTTGTGTTGTGTTAAACAGGGTTCATATGGTCTTTAAGAGTCCTTAATTAAAAGTCCTTAGGTTTTTTGGAATCGATTTTTGGTCCTTAAAAGTCCTTAATTTTAATTGTCTGAAATTTCTGTCTGTTTTTACGATTACCATTTCGAGTATGAATTAGCATTTTGGAGGAATATTTTTGATGATTTACAGACAAATATGGTTATCTTTTGATTCGTTTCATGGGTTATAATCTGTTCCTATTTCTAATATAAATGGTGAGATACTTGAGTTTCTGAGCAAGACGTAAAACATAAGCATTTCGAAATCATTTCATTTTTTCTAATGAAGAGCTCTTAAACAACTTTTTGCTTTTAGGGATGTGAATTCTTTTATTAAACAGTTCTAAATTTAATGACTGACAAACATTTGGCGATTTTAAGATGAGTTTCTGTAGAAAATTTTTTATTCCGAGATCTGGGAATTTGTCGACGATTTTTTTAAAACATTGTAACATCATTGATAAATGTCATAATGGCAAAAATAATGGCAGTATATTGAAATTTTTTAAAAATAACATTAAAATAAAAGGTTTTTATTTTTTGCTGTCATATTATATAAAGTTCCATTTTAACCATTTATTATATAATATTTTGAATCTGAAAAATAAACAAAGTATAATGCTATGCACAATTTATGAAACAGTTCTTAACAAAAAGAAAATAGCTATGCAATTAATTAAAAATGTCTTTTAAATTTTTTTTACAGTAAGAGTTTTTCCCATGTAATTGACAGAGAGTATGCATTATTTTTGTCTGTAAAATTAATTTTACACTTTTTCCCCTGTTTTTCCCCAAAATATTTCTGGCTTTTTGCTGTTACAGAATTGGTAGGAGTAATTTTTCTTTAGGATTTTAAACATTGCAGCTTGGAAAGTTTAGAAGGATTTGAAGGCAAGATTTATAGACCCACAATTCTAGAATTTTCACAATTTCCAGAAAAATGTCACAAAATAAAAAATGTCCCCATGATATTAACATGTTATGGATGTATTTTACAGAACGTTTGCGAAGAATTTCTTAATGTTTGGAGAACATCTGGAATAACAATGAAAACATAATATTTGAATGTTTTACTTCTGATGATAATAAAATATTTTTCCTAACATGTTTATCTTCCCTTTATTTTCTCTACTTTTCACTAGACACAAGCATGGAAAATGCCAAAAATGCTTTGAAACTTATTACATGGACAGGCATTAGATAAAGGAATTTTGTTATTAATAAAGAAATTGAAAACTGACAATTTCAAAGATATCTAATATATGCCTTAATGTATCATACTCAGGGCTAGAGCTAAGCATTTTCCCAACTGATGCAATCTCTGTGTATTCTAAATTCTGCTGCTTAGTGCTTTTCTAAATTTTCCTTCTAATGCCTGCTCTAAATTCTAAAAGTTCCCATTTCTAGATTTTGTTGCTTGGTGTGTCACTAAACTAAAAATTCTGCCACGCCAACTCTGTAACTGGCTCTTACCATATATATTTCATATTTCTTCTGAACTACTAAATAAAATTAGCAGCTTTTTCTATACATTCTAAATGCATTTAGTTTATTTAGAATAACAGACATCTTTTAATTACTAATTTAATTCTCATTTTAACCTATGCTTCTTGATATAAAATCTACCTGCCATTTGTTAAACCTTTAGATTGAGAATGTATGTGACAAAATGAGACATTTAAAAAAAAAAAAAAAAAAAAAAAAAATCAACATAAAGCTAACTGTTAGTAAAACGAAAATAAAATGTCACTTATCTTCTTTCAAATATGTATATTATAAGTGTAAAATATTTAATGCTCTTTGATAAATTTCGAAGTTTATTTATTTTCAAACTTATTAACAATAATGTGAATTAATTTATGTTTAATAATAATGCAGCCTACTTATGGATCTATTTTATTTTTAGGATGGTGTTGCAAAAGTGAAATTCAGGCATAGATAATATTTTTAATTGAAATTATTCAGCTCCCATTTGCTCATAGATCCTTAATTTTTTTCATTAATGGTCCTTAAAAGTACTTGATTTCCATGTTCAGAAATGTGTACGCACCCTGTCTGTAATATAAGGATAATTTGCTTCAGAAAGTTGTGTAACAATATGGGAAAAAAATTGAGTCTTTTTCAGTGTGGTTGTTGAATGTGTCAACTGAATAGTACGTTTTAGCTACATTTTTCATGTTTATTGCACTGTATGCAAATATGTTAAAAGTGTCTTATTTTTTCCCCCTGTTAGTGTATAAAACACATGATACTGGAAATCTAGTTCAGACCTGCAGGGACGGACAAATGGCTTCCAGTGAAAAAGTATGTCATGTTCCAATTTTAACTGGTAAAGAACAAAGTTGTTCACCTGAAAGGCAGTTTGGATATCCTGAAGGAAAACCATGTGTTCTCATCAAATTAAATAGGGTAATTATTAAAAAAAATTTGCATGATTAAAACACACTGTAATAAACTTGTTTAAGTCTTTAAAATAAGCAAATATTAAACTATGTATTCATTTTGAATGAAATTTCCATGTTAAGATAGAGGCTTTGAAAATAATACAAGGTAGTGTTTCTGACTTTTTGGCAGAGATCAGAAATGCCCTGCGAGATCGTGTGACTTCACGCCTTGCAGCACACCTTGCAACGGACCTACCAGTGGCCGGATGATAAAGTAACAGAACCTTAGTAGTTGACCTGATTTTCACATCAGGGACAAATAGGGTGCTGCATGGGCAGTTTTATGGTTTTTCAATATGTAACATGGATAAGATCCAGTTTTCCTTAGAAAGCTCTAGGCAGATGGTCTTCGCATGCTTTGCTATAAACAAACCAAACCAAACCAAATCGGATGTTTACACGAACAAACTACAAACGCTTCCTGAACTAAAGAGAGAAGTTTAACAGACCATTGGTGAGATTGATATTGAAGTTTGTGAAAGGGTAATCATGAATTTCACTGACACAGTAACTGCCTGCTGAAAAAATGAAGGTGGATCTATATCAAATATTGTTAAGTATTAAATCGGAATATAGAATAAAAAACATTTTTGAGTTTTTATATTGCTTTGGCTGATTTAGCGCATTTTTAAAATGTGCAGAATTTATGAGACATTATTTTTACATTACATTATTTTTATATATGTAAAATTCTATGCATTATATACACTCTTTTGCAAGAAAATCCTCTCTTTTGAAAGAATAGATTTTTCTCGAAATGTAGCAGTGCAAATAGAAGTTACTATTTTTAGAATGCAGAAGGGTGCTAATTTAATCTTTTACATATTCTTTATTTTTCTTATATATATATATATCCACTTTGTCACTTGGCTCGGTGAGCTCAGTTTCATTGTTTTTATATGTTTGTAAATTGTGCATTTTTTGCTTTAAAAATGATCGAATTATGTTGTACCTATCTTCTGGTTAAGGTTTTTATGTCTATTGTTAACTTGCATGCAATAATTGTGGAATTATCAACGATTTGAAATTTTTTAAAGTGCAGCTAACCCTCATTACTTCCTTGTACGAAGAAAAAAGGAAGTGTTGTAATCGGGAAAAGTTTCAGGCATCATATTTCAACGCAAATTTCCATTTTCACTGCTATCGAATACAATTTAACAATGTTTTTGTGTGACGTCTGTACGTGAGAACAGAATAAAGGACTCTTTTCCCCCCAAAAAAATTGTAAAACTAGTTTAAAATGAATTCTGAAGAGAATTTTTTGTGCCGTCTGTGAGTATGTACGTATCTCGCATAACTCGAAAGCAATAGCTTCAAAACGTTGAAATTTTATATATAGGACTGCTATAACATGTAGATGTGCACCTTGTATTTTGGTTGTAATCGGCCGCAGCAAAAAGTATATAAATTATATATATCCACTCTGTTACCCGGTTCAGTGATCTCAGTTTTTTTACTCTTATATGTTTGTAAATTGTACATTTTTTGCTTTAAAAATGATTGAATTATGTTTTTATCTTCCGGTTAAGGTTTTTATGCCTTTAGTAAATCTGTGTGCAATATTTTTAGAATTATCAACAATTTTAAAGTTGTTTAAGTGCCGCTTTTTTTTTTTTTTTTTTTTTTTGGTGGTGGCCATTGATTGTTTACATTTGAAACAGCAGACTAGTGGATTTGTTGCCAATCTAGAGAAACTTAGCTTCGCAACAACAAAGATAACGCCTTCATTTATTATTGCCAATTAAATCATGCTTAATCCATTCTGGAATTTAGTCAAGGAAATAAGTGTTTAAGGTTTACTTCATACTTTTCAATACAGACATCTTCATTTTTAATGTATTTTTGCCTTGTCGCGAAGTGAGAGCTGAATTAAATGAGAAATACTGAATTGTCTGTGAAAAACTGTTTCTTTTTTGTTTTGTTTGCTTAACTTCTTTTATACATCGTTTTAGATTTTTTATAGCATTTGAATAGAACATGTGTCAACGATTAGATAATTCTTAAGATGATATAAATTTTGTGCATTCTTAGTTAAAAAATGAACAAAATGTAACATTGTTAAGTGAACCTAGGGCCAGAGTGTTGCTATGGTAAACAAATATAGTGAATTTTAAAGATTGCATTTATTCTATTGTGGTTTATGCACTATCGACGAAGTACGGTTAATTTAATCCAATAAGTATAAATGAAATGCAAGAAAAAATGGCTATAATTTAATATTCTGTACAAGGAAGTCATGTGGTGCACACATTCAGATTTTTTTTTTTTTTTTTTTTTTTTTATTTTTTTTTTATATAGCAGCCATATTTGTTTACATTTGAAACTTAGCAGAATAGTGGATTTGTTGCCAATCTAGAGAAACTAAGCTTCACAACAACAAAGTAACGTCTTGTTTCATTATTGCGAATTAAATTATGCTTAATTCATTCTGGAATTATCATTTAAGTTATTAGCTTGTTTCTGCATTGAAACTAAGGTGTTTTATCTTTTTCTATATCTTTAAATTCTTAACGAAAATATTTTGAATTTTTATGTATTTTTGCCTTGCCACTAAGTAAGAACAAGGTGTTTTATCTTTTTCTGTATCTTTCAATTTTTAATGAAAAAATTTGAATTTTTATGTATTTTTGCCTTGCCGCTAAGTGAGAACTGAAATATTTAGTAGCGCATGCATGCTGAATCGTCTGTGAAAAACTGTTTCTTTATTTGTTTAATATCTTTTATACATCGTTTTAGATTTATTATAGTATTTGAATAGAATGTGGTAATTCTTCAGATGATATAATTTTTTTGCACTCTGAGTTATAAAATGATACAGTGAACTTTGAAGAGTGCATTTATTCTGTTGTGGTTTATACACTATTGAGGAAGTAGATTTAATTCAAAATTCGTTAACTGTTAATTCAATATTTTTAAATGAAATGCAGGAAAATTGCGTATGATTTGATATTTTGTATAAGGAATTCGTGTGGTGTACCCATCAGATTTTTTAAAAAAATTGTTGTTTACTTTCTGATGCCATTAAATTTTAGAGAGATATTCCTCTATCCATATTTCCTGCAATTCCACTTTTTGCTTAGTTGACATCCAAATATGCTTTCACTTTGCAGATTCTGCTGCAACTCTAAAATTAAAAACTTTTCTACATAATCAAAAATTAAAACTGCCTCCTACTTGACAGTCAGGTTGGTTGCAGAAAGTCAGTGTTTCAAATTTAACTTTCTGCAATCATCCTGTCTCTCATTTTGTCTTGCCATGTAATTTTTCATACATTTTTAATATGCAAGATCTTCAGAGGGGTTACCGTCTTTAAGTTTCATTTCTTTCCAAAAAAGCTTTTTTGCCACCTGAAAACTTGTATTTTCAATAAAGCATGCTTGTTTCCTGTACTTTTTCAAAAGTTTGAGTTGTGTTTTTCCCAAGCTTCAGTACATAATAAATTCTGGTGTTTTTTGTGGTAATATAACTCAAAACATACTTTGAACAGGTATGTGGTTGTATCATATAGTAGAAACTCCTTCTGAAGGTAATCCAATTTTCTTTCGTGTGAAGCGGAAGTGTACAATTGACAATGCCTGGGCTGCCTAAGTAATCTCATCCTTTTTTATAACATACTTTTCAGTTGCTAAATAATGCAGAATATTTGTTGTAAAATTTGAAATTCTGATACTATTTTTATAAGAGTTTCATCATTCTATGCTTTTTTCCCTTAAGATAGTAAATGATATACATTGTGTTTATAAATGAATGGAGATTTAAAAGTTAACAATAAATTGATATATAACCTTATCCATTGCAAAACCTACATTGTAAGCATTGATGCTCTACCTGCAGTTTGTGTGTCAAGCTTACTGCACACTTGCAGCGTTTAGTTTCCAAGATGGCATCATACAGGAAAAACTTTTTGTGTGCTCCATTTTCAGGTGTCCAGATCTGTGGTTAGCATTAGTGTAGTGTGAGTTTTGTGCATGGTTTAGGAAAGACCCACCATACAAGAATAACTAGTTAGTACCAACAGTTTGCAAATACTGGATGCTTTTGTAAAGCAAGAGTTCTGGTGGACCTCATGTGTCTGATGCAAATGTTGAAAGAGTGTGCAAGGCATTTCAATGAAGTAAAGGAAGTAGTGAGTAGTTTTTCAGTGAAGTAAAGCACTTAGTAAAGCAAGTAGGGAGTTGTACATGTCAAAGAATACAGTGTGGAAGGTGTTGCATAAACAGCTATGTTTTAAACCACATAAAGTGGGATTAGTTCAACATCTTATACCAACTGACAAAGTGAAAAAGCATGACTTTTTTGAAGAGATGCAGTTAAAAATGAAGGCAGATAGTTTTGTAGAAAGACTCATTTTCCGAATTGAAGCCACTTTTCATGCAAGTGGGTAAGTGAACAAACACAGTGTCAGTAGCTGGGGAAGCGAGAAACTACATGCACAGCTAGAGCATCATTGTGACTCTCCAAAAGTGAGCATTTCTATCTTTGAGAAAGTGTAGTCTATTTTTCTTCGAACAAGAAACTGTGACCGGTGACACATTTCTAGACGTGTTGAAACCTGGTTGTTACTAACTGAACACCAGTTATGATGCTTACATTATGCAACTGGACTGTGCTCCACCCCATTTTCAGAGGAAAGTACTAGAGCTTCTTAATCGTGTTCTTCACCAAAGCTGAATTGGACTGATGCAACAAGAGACAATATCCTTCTTCCCTGGCCTTGTTTGTCGGATTGAGCACCATTCAATTTCTTTCTTTGGGGGTTTTTTAAAAGACCAAATTTATTTACTATCAATGCTCATGTCCCTTGAAGAAGTCTGGGAACGGATAAAGCATGGATTGCAGACCATCATGCTAGACATGATGCACTGAGGAATGGAAGAATAGATGTGTGTCGTGTGACCAAGAGTGTGTATATCGAAGGCTTGTGGTTAATGCATCAAAAATTAAGACAGTTGTCACTGGTTTTTGCTGTAAGTATATAGTAAATGATATTTATGAAGATATTAAATGATATTTATGAAGATATTAAATGATATTTATGAAGATATTAAATGATATTTTTCTCTTTTAAGATTTATGATTGGGTACCTGAATCATATAATGAAGCACCACCAAAATTGGCTGAACATTTAAAAAAAGAATTTAAGAAGGATTTGGTATACATTACATGTGTTGGTGAAGTATGTATATTTATTTCTGTTGTATATTTTTATACTATTAGAAATACTTTTTTATGATTAACCCAGAATTCAAGGAAAGAGATTAATTCAGCTATTTCATAGGAGCTTTTTAGAAAAAGGGTTTTTAGCTTCGAAACAATTTCTAGAAGATTTAAAAAATTGATTAAAATTTAAATCGTAAACTTTTAAAATGTGTTAGTGATACTGCTTGTGATATATTTGACAATTATTCAGTAGTAGTAGACACCAGCATACATACATCTGAATCTAAAATAATTTACTCTTTTCCTTTATGGTATACTTGTCAAGAACATGCTTCTGCTCATCTGCAGAGGACATCATCCTCAAATATACACTTTCCCACAGATAGAGTGAATTGGATACATATGTAAACATATGTAATATATATATTTAAACTCTTTGTTTATAAGAATTAATAAAAAATGATAATGCATAAATAAAAAATAATGCAATTTGATATTATTTTAAATAAGTTACTGAAGCAACGTAATTTGGTAGTTTCTTTCCTTCTGAATCATCTAAACTATTCCAACTAACTTTTGATATCAAAGCTGGGTGTTTTTATTTGCAATAAATTGTTCAAGTACTTCGGAAACAGTCAGTTGGCAAAAACTTACTGTCTTTATTTTCTTTCACTTTCAAATGTTACTGGGTGAAATCATAGGTTAATATTTTTGGAAAAGTCCACATGCTATCAGAAAAAAACTATTGCCCCTCAGATTCTTCTTCTAAAGCAGGGTTTCTTAAACTGTGGGTCGCAACTCCCAAGGCGGATGCGAGACCATGTAGCAGGGAGTCGCCAAAAATTTTAGCAGTTTTGATACTTCTTTAACTTATTACATTAATTTTACAATTGCCAAAATATTTTTACACAATATATCTGAAAATAGATAAAGATTATACAGACAAAGAAAAAAATGAAAGCGTTTCGACACATTCTTTTTGTAATATAAATGTTCATTTTCCTTGCTTTGCATGTGATGCTGTCAGTTCATCTGTTACTTATTTAAAATGTTCACATTGTTCTATGTCTTAAAATTAGAAACTAAAGTTGACGACTTAAAACTGCAATAGTATATTACAGTACAAGTGAAAAAAATTGACAGTTTCACTCACACACATGTCAGATTTGTGCAATACTTATGGGGTCCCTTAAAATTTAAGGAACTGGCATTTAAATTATGGTGGGAAAGCTAGTGTATAAAAAAAAGAGCACCGGATTCTTTTTGTCTGACTAAATTAAAAAAATTGTACTAGGAAATCCATTGTGTTTGTAATAATTTTCTTTCTCAGTTGCCTAGCGTAGATAAGCTTTACAATCAATTGTATGTCTGCTCTCAGCCATAAAAGCTTTTTTGCTGCTCCAGTCGTATACATGCTCTTAGTCACCAGAGCAAAGCACCATGCTGATCTTCTGTTATATTAAGTCAACGAACTTCATAATCTTGCACATTATGTATTACTGTTCATTCAATGAAAGTTAATTCCAACCAGCATATACAAACTGAATACGATGGTAATAAACTGAATACTAAGGGTTAATAAATTCATATCAGAAATAAAAGTGCTTTTACCATATGCACTAGTTTTAAATTCTTAACAGAATTTTAGTTAGTGCTTTCTAATCTTTTTCTGTAAATTAAATGCATTATTTCTACATATGACACCTGTCTGAAAAGTTTCCGACCTCAATATGTAGATGGCAACTCAAATCAACCGCAATGTGTGTATGGGGGGATTTGTTTGGGCACAGCTATTGTTAAAATTACATTTATGATACATTTGGTGAGCTTCAGTGCCAATCCTAGACTGCCCGGCAGCCACGTACAAATTAAAATTGGCCGCCCTTTTTTACAGAAATATGTTTGATAATTCTTTTGCCACTCTTGAATTTAACTACCCATGTGCTGTGTACCATCTTGCCCCTCCCTCTAGGATCGCCCCTGAAGCTTGTTATGTACCACCTCTGAATATGATGCTGGTTGATTAAATGATACTTGAATACAAATGGTTCAGTTCTGATCCTTTTTCAACAACTTTTCAACAATCACACCAAAACTTTATTAAGGCACTTAAGTATGTGATCATTGTGTTCTCTGGAAAGGGAAAAGTTGTTGAATCACTGAAGAAACAGAAATATAAATTCTTCAAGTTTTTTATAATACACTGGTGTGCAAAAATTAAGGACAAAGTCGAAAAATTAGCATATCAGCTGAACGAAGAGGCAGAGTGGACAGAAAGACCAATCAGGAGATTAAGTAAGGTGATGTACGGTAGCACATGCACAGATATGCAGGTAGACGTAATGGGGGAGTGTTTGAGTAGTATAAAGCATGTTGTCGGTGTAAGATCAGTATTTCTGGCAAAGACATTGCATGCCGTATAGCAGTTAAAATCACACCGAGTTGCTGCCTCAGCGAGAAATGGCGAATAATCAGCCTGTTAGACGACCTCTTGATGCTTTTACCCGAGGTCGAATCATTGGGAAGTTGGAGGAAGGCCGCAGTGTGACAAGTGTGGCTGCAGAGTTCGGAATTGCTCACAGCATCGTTTCACGACTTTGGAGACAATTTCAAACTATAGGAACAGCTATCCGGGGGTTTAGTAGTGGTCGTCCACGAGGAACCACACCCGCAGATAACCGGTATATTGGCTTACAGGCCAGAAGAAACAGGCGGCAGACAGCGGGAGTAATTGCTAGACACACGACACAGGCGACTGGACGACCGATATCGCGTTTTACCGTGGCCAAAAGACTGCACGGTGGTGGTCTGTTTGCACGACGCCCTGTACGGTGTGTACCTCTACCGCCTGCCCATCGGAGAAGGCGTTCTCTGTGGTGCCGGGAACACCGGAATTGGAGAGACAATGAATGGGGACGAATACTCTTTACAGATGAGAGCAGATTCAGTCTGAGTAGTGATTCTCATCGCATACTCATCTGGAGAGAGCGGGGAAGCCGCAATCATCTCTCAAACATCATTGAAAGGGACAGGTATGGAGGTGGCGGTGTTCTCGTTTGGGGAGGCATCATGCTTGGTAGTCGTACAGACCTTCACATCTTCGACGCAGGTTCAGTCAACGGGACCCGTTATTGTAACGAGATTCTTCTTCCATATGTGCGTCATTTTAGAGGCGCTATGGGTCCTCAGTTCCTTTTCATGGACGACAATGCACCATGTCATCGCACAGTAGCTGCCGAACAGCTCTTAGAGAGTGAGGATATTGAACGTATGAATTGGCCGGCACGATCTCTGGATCTCAATCCCATCGAGCATGTATGGGATTTTCTAGGCAGATGCTTGGCAGCTTGTACCTTACCACCAGTAACGATTCCGGAGCTTCGATTGGCGCTGCAAGACGAATGGGCAGCAATGACTCAACAACTCATTGACACCCTCATTCTCAGCATGGGCAGACGCTGTGAAACCTGCCTAGCAGTCAGGGGAGATCATATCCCTTATTGAAGACCGGATGTTTCTTGCTGGACACCCATCACAGGGATGTTTCGGCCTTCAGTCGCATTGCGCTCCATGCTACTTTTTCAATAAAGCTTCTTTTTATCCCTCTGATTTCTCTTTTAGTAAGTGTTGCTTATATTACTCATGTCCTTATGTATTGGGGATCTTACAGTATTAAATGTGTTGACTTGGAAAGCTTTTGTACAAAGTTATATTGAAAAAAACCGTCTCGTCCTTAATTTTTACACACCAGTGTAATTATAGTTTACCATGCTTTTTACAAGTAATTATCTTCACGTACTTACATACAGATCTCTGGTTGAAACCTTGAATTTGAATTGAAGATAGCAGAATTCTGTATATATCTACTTAAGGAACTAAACAAATGTAATATTTTCTGTGTGAAGGGTGGGGGGGAGTGAAAATGTTTATACTTAAAAATAATACTATGAAAGAAATATTGTATTGGTGAAATACTTAAATGGCTAAGCATTGTGGAATTATTGGTTAGTAGTCCTGATCATATATAGGTGATGCTATTTAGAACTTGAAAGATATATGCAGAACAGATTTATCATTTTGATTCATTATAAATGCAATTATATATTTAATTTATGAAGCATCCACTCTTTTTTTTTTAAACTACCATTGTTATGTTCTCTCCTCCCAAAAGAAACTGTAATTTTCGAAAAAAATTTTTTTAATCAAACTTTTATCAAGGAATATATGTACTTTAAATGTTATGTAAATCAGAATAGATGAATGCATATTGACTATTTTTCTGTAAAAAGTTTTTTTTTTTTTTTTAAAAAAAAAGATTGTGTTATCCCACTTTTATTCTTATTGCTTATATATTACTTATAGACCAAAAGAAATAAAGTATACTGAATAATTTTATGTGTTTTTTTTTTTGTTGCTCATATATTTATTTCTTATCCTAGAACTCTGCTGATAAGGACAACATTGGGGATGTAGAATATTATCCAGCTCAAGGCATAGAATTCAAGTATTTCCCATTTTTAAACCAAAAAGGTTATATGTCACCATTTGTGTTCGTTCAATTTGCCAATATCAATCGTGGTGTGCTGGTAAATATTGAATGTCGCGCTTGGGCCAAAAACATTGTGTATGATAGAGGAGACAGATTAGGAAGTGTGCATTTTGAACTGTTAGTTGATTAAAGTGGTAAGACTTTAAAATATATAAAATTAAAATCTGTCATTCTCTCTGTCAGTTTTTTGCATTTTTCATTTAGTATTTTTTGTTTATAGATTGTTATGGGTTAACTGTGCTCTGCTACACCTTTTTGAATGTGTGCCATTACCATCTGGAAACACGAAATATATGCACAAAAGCTATATATATTCAATTATTAATATAGTGTGGTATATGTGTATAAAAAAGACTATGCATATTATAAGGTGTTGAACTTTTATAGATGAGGTATTTATATAAACATCATGTTGCCAAATATTCTCGATGCTTTATGGCAGTTTGTCAGTTTGTGATCTTGATTATTAGATACAATTAATTGGTTTTCTAGAGATTAAATTATATAAAATATTATATTTGGTACTGGTGCTTTGATAGATTAGCCTTTTATGTAATTAGTGCAATAGATTCCCTCATCTGTATGGTCTTCTTTCTTCAAAACAGTGGTCAGCTTGTTGAATTGTGCTTTGTAAAGCAAGAAATGGACTTAGGGCATTTATCATAGTTAGTAAACTGAATTTGTTGTAAGTCCTAATTCAGTTATTAAAATATTAGCTACACATACTTTTATCACATGTGCATTTTTAAACTGCTGTAATGCCTGCATTTTTTAAATCTTACTCTGGAATGCTTCTTATATAGATAAGCTAACTTTATTCTCCCTTCTGTTGACTTTGTAGTTTGCATTTTCTCTCTTTGTTGTTGGATCTGTTCATTTTTTGCATGAAAATTGTATTATAGTGCTTGTCCCGTTTTGTTGCATCAAGACATATCATTAATTATAGGTTGTTTAAAGTATAATTTAAATTTTAGATGTATATAAAAGTGTTTAAGCCATGTTTCATATTTTAATGATGTTTGTTGAAATAAGTTTTATGAGGGATCAACTAAATTAGCTTCATATTTTTTAGAATTCAGTGACTGTTTTCCTGCTTAAATAGTACTTAGCAACTTTCTTGCAGTGTGGTTTTATGGTTTCAAAATTTCTGTAAATGGGGCTTTTTTGTTTTTATGAACAAGTGTTACATGAATTAATGAAATTAATTTTTATAGTGCTGAGCAATTAAAATATAAATTAAATATGTATTCACATAAAAGAACAAATTAAAAATTTTAGTGATTTGAGGGTGCTTTGTATCTATGTTCCTCCAATTGTTGGCAGCTCATTTGTTTTTCATATCCACATGTTTGGAGAAGTGTTTTGGGTGCATTTTTTTAAGTACAGCTACTGTTTCGTTTAGCATTTGAATAACATTTCTTTTAAAGTGATCTCTGTCATTTATTTTCATTCCCTTTTCTGAAAAATCTTCTACCTAAAGCAATAGATGTCACTTGAGACTTTTTGTAATTTTTAAAAATGTTTGTAACTATAGTGTCTGGCTTTCTTTTCTTTTTTTGTGATAAAAATGTTTAGCACAGTTCATTATTTTAAATATTTAATATAAACTTATTAAAAAATTAAAAATGAAATAAGTTTATTTTTTATACTGCAAGTTTAATATTTTGGCATTCTTTACAAAATAAACTTTGAAGAGTTTTAATACCAGAAACATTAAACCTTCTGAATAAATTTATAGACATTTTATTATTCTTTGTTTCTGTGTTGCACTTCATCTTTACAGATTTTCAGCATGAGAATAATGCAAAAAATTGTATCAGTTTTAATATGTCAGTAATGTTTTTTTTATTGCCTTAAGTTATGTGCTGTCTTAAGTCCTATCACAAACATATTTCTGTATATAATGATGAAGACAGATCTTCTAGCATTCTTGATCCATTAGATCATGTATGCTAGAAAAATTCTGATAAAAAAACTGGAGTTTAAAAAAAAAGAATGCACAATTGTAACTCAGACATCTCTTCTCATTTTATTGTTTATTATATGTACTGAATTGTTGCAAATGTTGTGTATGTATTTAGGAAGGAAATAAAACTGACTTTAAAGAATATATGTCGTCATTTCCATTTAAAAAGTGAAATAAATTTTGAAAGAATTTGAATTTAATTCTTTCTTTTGAGTAACATTAATTTGTCCTACAATTGAATTTTTTTTTTTGAACAAAGTAAATTTCATTTTTAGGTATTAAAATGTTGATGAAGTTTTGATCGTGATTGCTAATGCATGTGATGACTTCAGATAATCATGTATTTTGTTAACTGGGTAACATTTCAGATATCCATTATTTCATAAATACTGAAGTCCGGTAAAGCACTTAAAAAGAAGCAACAATAAATAATTGCTGTATTATTTAAATAGGCATTTTTAAAAATAGATTATGTATTCTTTTTCAGTAAGTTGGTCTGCTGCTTGAAAAACTCTTTTGTGGTATTGAAACTTTGAAACAGTTTGTTCTTCATGCTGTCTTAAAAAAAAGTAATTCCATACTTCAGACTCTGTAAAAAGAGGTGTTCCATATATCTTGTTCTTACTAATTTGAAAACTTCCTGAATATTAATGTTGTAACAATTTTAAGAACTGGTACCCATTGTAGTTTTTAGATAACATAGATTTCTGCTGAAAGCTTATGGGCTAAACATACCAAAGATATCCTCTTTTGTTTAATTTTAAAATTTTAATATATCTTGTATGTACTATTAATTTATTGTTAAACATCAGATAGTAAAAAGTCTTTTTTTAATATTTAATCTAACTAAACATTTTTGTGTTAGGCTTGGTTGCTGTGGAAAACAAAATTTTTATCCCTTTCCTCTTCTTAGTCAACTTATTGTGACTGTAAAATTACTGAAATCCCACATCCTCAGTATAATCAATCCAAAAGAGAACAGTCATACTTTGCCTTTATGAGATACCAATTCACTTAACTGAAAAGTAAGACTTGGGTGATATATTTACATATTTTTATTTCATAATTTATATTTCATAAAGTATCCACATAGTATTGCTTCTGAAAGTGGTTTTCGCCCACAATTTCTAAAAGTAATAAATTCTAGGTCCTTTTTTTAGGATATGCCATTTATTTTCCGGAATAGTTAGCTTGTCAGGATCTATATCCGACTCTTTAGTAATGCGGCCTAAATATTCGTTCATGCCCTTTTTGCATATGGTGCATTTCCAATACTGGGGGATGGAACATATGCCAATATGCATCCCACAAGCTAATCTAGGACATAAGCCATGTGCGAGATGCATCCCATAAGCTGAACAGAGAAAGAGTTTGTCAGAATCTTAGCATGTACCTGAAACTATTGTAGTAGTGAGTTTTATATGAAGTGCTTCAATCGTTACATGTTTTGTGCAGTGCTAATATTTTAAAGGTAATTAGCAACATATTCCGAAACAGGTTCCATTTGAAATTAGCATATAATAGACATACTTTTGGTTTCCACAGATATAATTATAGAATGATAAACGAGATTCTGATATAGTTGCAAAGCAAGGTTTCATACTTTTCTAAAGTCAAATGAGGCACTAAAAAAAATAGTCATTCACATGGTAGTGACTAGCAGTAGTAGATGTACTAAAAATATGCAGGTCTATTAAATGCCAAGTATAGTTTTGAATGATGCATGTGAGAATTTATGTATAGCTGTGAAAGAAAAATTGTTGAATCAATTACACATGGAGAGATTAATTCAAGGAAACCATATAGAAGTTGTTTCTTATCCACTTACTTATCCATGGTTTAGTCTCCATGTCTCTATGTTCTTTTTTCTCTGTATGTGACAGACTGGGATTCCTCTTCTAAATTCCATGCAAGCACCAGTACCTGCTCTTCAGATAGATCTGATTTATGATGGTCAATTTTCCTTTCAAAATTTTGACCACATACTTCACTGTGAAGCCAGCCACGCAGATCAGATTTTCCCATAGCTAACGATTCTTTCGCATCTTGTTGGAAAGACTTTAGTTCTTCAACTGAGTCTACACTCGTAATGCAATTGTCCACATACATCGAGTCTTTCAGTTTTTCAGCTGCCATTCAAACGGTCAGGTGCATTCTTTAGATGATAATTTAAAACTGCTTCTAATAAAAATGGGTTGCACGAAAGGCCGAAAACATTGTGGGAATGCCGGTATATAATAAACTTCTTAGGATTTCCTCCTAACCACCACAAAAAGCGTAGGAAATTCTTATCATTTTCATATAGAGCAATTTGTAAAAAGGCTTTTCGATTATCCGATATGACTCCTATTTTTGCTAATTCAAAACAATTCAAAATTGAAGGTATTTCAACGAGATTTGGGGGCCCTTTTCTACAAATCGTTTTTCTTTAAACACAGGTTGTTGAGGTAAGTAGTAAAATTTACCAATTTTATTAGACTCATTCAAATCGAACTTTTCGATAATGCCCTACTTTTCCCATTTTTCAAATACATTTTTATAATCATTTAATCTTCCTACAGTTCTCAAAGATCTTACAGTGTTCTTCAGTCTTTTCTTAGCCAGATCAAAACTATCTAAGTTTTGCTTGGCCGTCAATCCGACAAATGCAAACAATGTACCTGCCTTCTTTATTTCTAGCTACCGTGTTTTCAAAATGCTTCAAAGCAAGATCTTAGTTCTAATTTTGTTCGCTTTTCACTGGGATCTTTTATCCTAGAGAATCTAATTCCCATAAATCTTATATTTTTTCCAAGATTCGTAAGTAAAGAGTGAACCAACAGTGAAATTTTTGCTTGAAAGTTAGATTTATGTTTAGATTTTCCTAAAACTGTATACTCTAAATATGTTTCTACTGCGATGAGTCCACCAGAAAGTTGTTTTACATTACCAGTTAATAATTTTCTTACAGTGTCAGAGCCCAATAAGATATGAATTTCATTAATGTCTTTTTCGTAGAAACAAAACTTCTTATTCATATAAGAATCGGTTACAAAAATATTCATTCTTTTTTATTTTTGTAAGATATTATGACCATTAATTCTAGGTATGCCTAAGGAAATATGCTCCTGACCATTGACATCCATAACAAATTAAAATTTTTTACCCAAACTGGATAACCTAATTGTATATCTATCATGAACTGAAGTAATTTGTTTTACCTCCGAAAAGCACATGAGTTATCGTTTCTTTTCCTCTGCTCTTCAAACACATGGTTTTTGCAATATATTTTGAAATGTAACTTTTCTGGCTCCCAGTAATCGTCCTCACCAGTAGCCTTGAATTTTCATTTTCAGTGTAAACAGTTAGCGTTTGTAAAAAAACCTTTCATTTGCTTTGAGTAGTTAGATCGGTAGACTCTGAATTCATATTATTTATTCTTTCCCCTTTTTTGTTGCTAAACGCAACAAAATTTGTGATGTAATCCAGAACAGAATCCACGTTTAGTTTTCTTAATGGGGCAGTTCCGTGATAAATGCTGTGCTTTTTGTAAAAAGTTAAAGCAAGCTCCTTTACACGAAAATATATTTCTTCTTTCTTCCAAAGTAAGATTCATTACTACATTGCAACAATCAGGAATATAAGTCATGGAATCACAAAATACACAAGTTCTTTTTTTTTTTTCATTATATTACTCCCGACTGGCATCGAAGCCGTCAATAATTCAATGCTGCTTATATGTACGTCCCTTATCCATTCAAAAATTGACAGTCATTTAGGGGTCAGCAAGACCTTCCTTGCTTGCCAAACTTGATCTGGTACACCACCAAGCAATTCGGATCTGTGCTGGCGCCTTTAGAACTTCTCCAGTGGAAAGCCTGTATGTGGAAAGCATCAAGACTTCTTTGAATTTAAGATGTGAGCAACTTTGTCTCAAGTAGTATTTTAAAATCATGTCACAGATCTAGAATCCGAACCATCTACATTTACTCAGTGATGCATGCTCTCGTTTATATCAGGCATGCCCATCATGTATCCCATTGTTTGGTTTAAGAGTTAGCATCTTACTAGAATAATATAATATGACTAGTATAAATTCACAGTTGGAGAATCCTTTTGATACACCACCATGGGAGGACTGGAAATTTCAGTCTCTAATACTGGGATAAATCTAGTACAAGTGATATCATTTACAAGTAGATCTTTATGACATGAACATAATACAGAAATCAATACATAATACAGAAATATAACATAGACATAAATACAGAAATTATATCCCTCCCTATACAGATCGATCAAAGTGCCGAGATCATGTTGCTGCGGCCTTTGTACTAGAAAAATCTATTCTGAAATTTCGATTACACCCGGCTTGCTCCGTTTTTACCTCTGAACTTACTGCAGTTTATCAGGCTCTAATGTTTCTCTCAAAACATCATTGCAAGAATTTTATTTTCCATACAGATTCCTTGAGTGTCCTAACTTTATTCAAAGAGCATAACCCAGATCCCAATATTACCAGAATTCTGAAGCTTAACCCTTTCCGGCATGCTACCTTTTAAAGTCGGAAATTTGATAAAAAATGTAGCCAGTATAATTAGGCCTAGAGGAGTACACAAGCAAAATTTTGAAGATAGCACTTATCGTTTTAATTCTGTGGGTGTGCCCAAAGTGGCACACTGATTGAATAGAGCTTCGGAAAGAGTGCTGAAACGAGCATTGTTGTCAATGAACTGATCCATGAGATGCAGAGAAACAAAGAATACATACTCTCAGTTGTTCTAGATTATCGGTGAGCCCGGTCTGGGCACACCTAGAGTTCGCCGTTTGATTTTAGGCAAGATTTCAACGTAAAATTTAAAACTATTACAGAATAAAAATATTAGCATACAGCCAAAAAAATAACATAGAAATTTTTTCAAGCAATGCCTTTTATACCCAAAAAATATTGGAAGATTTCTTGAAAATGAGGCTCTTAAAAAACTAACATGGCTAAAATATATGGACTGGTTTGTGTTGAGCTGCCATCTACAATAAATAAAGAAGGTTCAGAGTAACCTATAAATCCTTTTTCAATCAATTTTTCTGTGCGTACAGAAGGGAATTTTTAGGTGTGTCCAGACCAGACATACTGTGCCGCAAAGGGTTAACCAGACTTTAAAATA